TTAATAAGACTGGGACTTTTCAGCTTGGAAAAGAGACGACTAAGGGGGGATATGATAGAGGTCTATAAAATCATGACTAGTGTGGAGAAAGTTAATAAGGAAGTGTTATTTACTCCTTCTCATAACACAAGAACTAGGGGTCACCCATTGAAATTAATAGGCAGCAGGTTTAAAACAAACTAAAGGAAGTATTTATTCACACAACACACAGTCAACCTATGGAACTCTTTGCCAGAGGATGTTGTGAAGGCCAAAACTATAACAGGATTCAAAAAAGAACTAGATAAGTTCACGGAGGATAGGTCCATCAATGGCTATTAGCCAGGCTGGGCAGGGATGGTGTCTCTAGCCTCTGTTTGCCAGAAGCTGGGAATGAGCGACCGGGGATGGATCACTCGATGATTACCTGTTCTGTTCATTCCCTCTGGGCATTGGAAGACAGGATACTGGGCTAGATGGACCTTTGGCCTGACCCAGTATGGCCGTTCTTGTTCTTACTGGGGCAAGCATGGGGAGACCCCTGCAGTATCGGGGTGGGTGGCTTCCCCATGTTGGGGAGACACCTGCTGTATCGAGAGGTCAGGTCCCCTATGCCCAGGGGGACCCTGTGGTAGCGGGGGTAGTGGCTCCCTGTGCCCGGGGAGTCACCTGCAGTATTGGGGCGGGCTGCTCCCCCATATTTCGGGGGGACCCTGTGGTATTGGGGTGAGTGGCTCCCTCATGTCTGGGGGGGGACTCTGCGGTATCAGGGTGCGTAGCACCCCCATGTATGTGGGACCCTGCAGTATTGGGGTGAGCAGCGCCCCCATGTACGGGGGGCCCTGCGGTATTGGAGTGAGCGGCACCCCCATGTACGGGGGGACCCTGCGGTATTGGGTTGGGCGGCGCCCCCATGTATGGGGTGTGACGAAGTGGGACTGTTCTTAATGTTTCCTCTGAATACTGTAAGAGTGCCTCAGTTTCCCCTATGCATTTCTTAACTCTCTAGGTGGGGGGATAAGGGGGTGAGATTGTTGCAGAGCAAAGGGCCAGTGTGCATAAATGGCCGACACTTTGTATCCTGGCAACTAATGGCCAGGCCCTTCCCCCCTGCAAGGTGATGCTAAAGGTGTGGGAGAACAAAGAGATCAGGTGACCTCCTGGCCTGGGAAAGAGACAAAGCCCAGAGGAGGGGCTGGAGGGGGTTTCAGTTTGGAGCTGGCTGGGGACGGGGAGTGAGGGCAGACGGGGGTGTCTGGCTCGCTGCCCCCCAGAATGGACCCGGCCGAGGGGTCCTGTTCTCTGGACCTACAAGCTCTGTGTTAGACCGTGTTCCTGTCATCTAATAAAGCTGTTTCAGTGGCTGGCTGAGAGTCACGTCTGACTGCGGAGCTGGGGTGCAGGACCCTCTGGCTTCCCCAGGACCCCGCCTGGGCGGACTCGCTGTGGGAAGCGCACGGAGGGGCATATGCTGAATGCTCCAAGGTCAGACCCAGGAGGTGAAGCCGTGTGAGCTCCTTGCCCTGGAGACAGTCTGCTCCGAGGAAGAGGAGGCTCCCCAAAGTCCTGACTGGCTTCATAGGGAGCAGTTCCAGAGCATCGCCTGGGGCCTCTGTGACATGGGGGGACACCTGCGGTACTGGGGTGGGCGGCTCCCCCATGTACAGGGGGGACCCTGTGGTATCGGAGTGGGCAGCTCCCCCATATTCAGGGGGACCTTGCGGTAACAGGGTGGGTGGCTCCCCCAGGTACAGGGGGGACTCTGCAGTATCGGGGTGGGCGGCTACCCCATGTTGGGGAGACACCTGAAGTATCGAGGGGTTGGGTCCCCTATGCCTGCAGGAACCCTGTGATATTGGGGGGAGCGGCTCCCCCAGGTACAGGGGGGACCCTGCGGTATTGGGGTGGGCGGCTCCCTGTGGTCGGCGAGACACTGCAGTTTCAGGCTGGGCTGCTCCCCCATGTCTGGGGGACCCTGTGGTATCGGGGAACAGCTCCCCTATGTCCAGGTGGGACCCTGTGGTATCAGGGGGCAGCTCTCCCATGTCCAGAAGGACCCTGCGGTATTGGGGAACAGCTCCCCTATGTCCAGAAGGACCCTGCGGTATCGGGGGCAGCTCTCCCATGTCCAGAAGGACCCTGTGGTATCAGGGGGCAGCTCTCCCATGTCCAGAAGGACCCTGCGGTATCAGGGGGCAGCTCTCCCATGTCCAGAAGGACCCTGCGGTATCGGGGGCGGCTCTCCCATGCCCCGAAGGACCCCG